CCGCCGCCGCCTGCCCGCGCTTTAAGGGCCCCGCACCGCGCCCCTGGCTGCTCCAACGCGGCCGAGTTTGCTTTCCCACGGCCCCTGCTTTATTTTCTCTTCTTTCCCCTCAAGGCGGCTTCCCCCCCTTCAAGGCCGGCCTCTGCCCTGGGAGGAGTGAAGGAGAGAAACGGCAGAAAAGAGAAAGGCCGTTTGCAACCGCAGAAAGGGGAATGGCAGCCCTGAGACCAGCACTATCATTGAGACCCCGTGACCACCATGGCCAGGCGCCACTTGTCCAAGCCTGCTCCTAAGTGACAGGAGAAGAGGTTCCAGAAAAACAGCTCCTGCTCACCCTGTTTAAATCTCTTTCCATGACTGGGTTACAGGGTAGAGTGAAGAGAGAAGTTAAAGAAGATGCCCTAAGAGGCCAGAGGAGGCTAAAAGAGCCCCGTCTTTAAAGGCCTCGTGTAGTTGTGTCTTCTTCCCCTTAAAGACCACCCCTGCTCTTTCATAGTATCCATTTCTATTAAAAAAATAAATAAAAATAAAAAATACAAACCTTAACCAGGGAGAGGCTGGTTAGACCTGAACTTCGTATGGGTTGAGATGGAAGGTTCCCTCACCCTCCAAAGCAGAATTCTCCAGCCTTAGAGGAAAACACACCAAGAAGCTGCAGAGCTCATGGTTTCCTACACCACTTGCAAGTGACTTTCTGCCTTTTCAGTAAAAGTGAAGCTTCAGTTAAGTTAGAATTAGAAAAAAATAAGAGAAAGACACATTAAAGCAACCCATTCTTGAAAAATATTTTAATACATATGCTGAAAAACTTTTCATTTGCCCTTTTACTGCACTAGGTGATGCTGACTTCAAAGGAGGACACACACGCACTACTTTCCTCTTGGGGAAGGTCCTTCTGCAGCACAAACTGAACACACGGACAGTCTGTTCGGATACACCAGCACTCTGGTAATAAACAGTAGGTTATAGTACTGCATAATATCCTGAATTAGACTTTGAAGTTTAATGAAAAGGGTACATAAAATCTAAGTAGTTGTACACAAATATATTAGGAAATAAGGAAGCACTCTCACTAGACTAAATTTTAAATAAAATCTCAACTATATATATTAAAAAAAATCTAGAGCTGCGGCCAGAAAACCAAATCGCTTCCACTGTGTCACTTTTTACAGCTACATGAGTATTGTTTCAAGATGTAGGTTCTCACTTTTTTTTGGCAAACATTTTTATACTTTTTATATTCTTCAAGGTACTACAGTGCTAAAAAGGCAACTCACGTTCTCATGAAAGAGTCATTTTTAAATTGGTAGGTATAACAACACTTAAAATTCAGAGGAAAAAAAAAAAAAAGAAAAAAAGCCCCAAAACAAAAACACCTTATTGCACTGCAATGAACCAAGTAAAATACACTTTCCACTATTCAAGAGTTGAGTACATTCCACAGAGTCTCCTTTGGGCTGGAAAACCTGCAGGATACATCAGGCAGCAGCACTAGGGCCCACTTTGTCCTGCCTCAGTTTTGAGAAAGTCTCTGACCTCGTTAGTTCCTGAAGGGGAATTTTCACACCACAGCAAGCAACAGGGCTGGCAGGGCATCAAGTATTGTGGTAGGCTGCAATTTAGTGCATTTTATTGCGGTGCTTCCATCAGGCTGCCTCAGATATTATGGCTGGGTGTCAAGAAATTTGTCAGGGCGGCTCTTTTCACAGTGTTTGGAGCTGATAAATTCTTGAACCTTTTTTCAAAAGATAACCCTGATCATTTAGAGATCCAATAAAGCTTTCAAAATCAGATACCTAGAGAGAAAGAGGCAGAAAAAAATCAGATTGGAACCATAACATTTCCACAGATCTAAAGCAACACAAACTTGCTAAGAATTGCCTAAGTGCACTACAGAAAATGAACTAAAAAAAGGCTAATTTCGTTAGCAAACTCCTGACCTTCCTTCTAGTACAGTCGAATGCATTGTATCTCGCTTTATTTGAAAGGTCTTTTTGTTTCACGAGTAACATACCTATATATCCAAGTTCTGAAACACAAGAGGAACATTTCCTGCAGAGAGAACCTTGAAAAGAAACTGCACAATTCTCAAAAGTAGTTTATAGCTAAATAAAGTCAGAAGAATGAGAGGCTCTGAAATTAGAAGCATTTGTTAATAAAATTTTGAGGGGGCAAATGAGTTATATAGGAAGACAAAACTAGAATTAACCGGATTAACTGGATGTGGCTAGTTTCAACTGAAACTCGTCACTGAAGGTTGTATGAAGAGAGCTGGCAACAACATTAGACTGTGGTGGATTTGGTGAGGATGCTGCCTGACAATCTTCTTTGTAATCAGCACCTCAGCAGGTCTAGACACTGAAGCCATCTTGTACCAGCAGGCCAAAGTAGATTAACAAGGTAAAGAACAATGTATTTGCCCACAATAAATTTCAGGAAAAGCAATTAATTGTTATTACTTTTCAGTCATTATGTCTGTTATGCAGCTTTAAATTTTTCATTGCCATCTGAAGCTTTTCAGTCAGTTTTTTTTAGGCTAAAGCCCCCCATAAGCACCAAATGCAAGTCAACTATAGGATAAAATTCACTTGTGGCTGTGTGTATGATGTGATAGTCCTATTAAGTGACACCATTAGGACACCTGAAGAGGGAATGAAACCCCAGAAAGTATATTTGAGCTAGAGATGGCCAGAGACATTAATTTCTATTTCAGCAGTGAAGTAATTCACCACAAAAATCCCATGAATCAAGATGGGGTTGTTCCCCCAGGAGCTGAAGAGAGCAAAAGATACTGCACCCAAACTTGTTCTTCATAAAATAAAACATGGTCTGGATAAGAACAAGATCCAGAAGTAGAAGTAGGCCTTACTAGTGCAGGATGGTGTTACTGTCAAACAGCTTATTAACTGTTTAGCAAAGCATTCAGACTAAAGATTAGCAAAGCATTTAGACTAAAAGCAATTTACATTGCTTATTTCTCTTCACTGCACAGTGCCACAACAGATGCATCTTTTTCAGTTCCCATTTTGTAATCAATTTTTGATTACTTTTATTACAGTTTGCTGAAGATATAGTTTGTTGAAGAAGTGTTCTGATTTCCCAACTTACTCGTATTTGTAATTCATTTGCAATCTGTCGAAGTTGCTGTAATTCAAAGAGATTGTTGTAGGTTCTTTCTGCAATATTGTTAAGGGCAGAAACAAATCTTTTTGCTTGTGACCGATTGCTCATCCCAGATCCATGCTGCGAGCGTTCAAAGTCCAGTTTTCCAAACTCATCTGAATACGTTCCCAGCATGCTATAAATCAATAGAGGGTAAAAGGTACATGAATTTACTCCCCAAAGCACAATATTGCTCAAGATTTTAAAGTAGCCAAAAGCTGCATTGGAAAAACTTCCCCTAGTAATAAAGTTGTCGTCTAGGGAACTAAACATCTGTTCAAATCACTTTTCACCTTAAATTGTTCAACCACAATAACTGAAAGTGAGTACACAAGACAAAGAAACTTCTAAAGTACTGTACACTGATACTCATAACTAAAGATCTACCAAACTATCATATTCAGGGCAACATAGGGCTGCTGACATTTTGTAAAAATGAGCAGATGAATCCGATTGTGTGTGCAGATCTTAAACGTGTTGCATTTTTTTTTAAACCACTGCATATTACCTGTATTTCATTATTTCTATTACATCCTCAGCATCTTCCTTTGTAGACTTCTCCCTTAATTCCAGCCTTGCCCGTGCCTTAAAAAAAAAAAAAAAAAAAAAAAAAAAAAAGGCAGGGGAGAGGGGAAGAAGCATTTAGCGATAGTGAACATAATGGACAAATGCAAAGGTATAACAAAGAAACACAGTGTTTAAGAGGACAGAGTTAGAAATGAAATATTCTTCTGCATTCCAAAGGTATCTTCTTCCTATTTGTGTTAGAAGACTGTAGCATTAGCTTGGAATTTGCCTTTTAACAGTGTATTCCTGTAAAAGCAGCACAGCAGAAGTATTCAGACACAGCTTTAGAGGAAAATACAACAGTTTCAGCTCAAGACAAGCAGCAGCTCATCTGCATCTTTATTTTCCTTCCCTCTCCCTCCACTTTGCTGGAACTTGGCAGGTTCTCCCCACTAGCCACTCCAGGGTGTTTTGCCTCATGAAAAGCTTTAAGCAGCAGTAGCTGCTTAAAGTAAAGCTGCTTTAAGTAGCAGTAGCGTTTGCGAGACAAAAATCCCGGGATATCAGTAGCAGAAATAAATCCCTTGGCTTTTGGTTCGAATCTACCTCTGTGAGTCGAATCAGTGACTCGAGCTGCCTCGTGGTGATGGGGGTGCCGTCGGTTCCCTGCTTCTGTTTGCGGAGCTCCAGGTAGAATCCCTGGAGGACCTCGGCAGCTTCTGCAGACAGAGCCGGGTGCACGTACTGCCGCGCGTATCCCACGTACTTCCGCAGCAGCTGGTGGGGAATGGCATCCAAGGTCTCTCCTGGGGAGATCTAAGCCCATTGCAAAGACATTAGATTTCAAGTGTCAGAACTCCATGCAATACCAATTTTAACACGAACATTTCTTCTGTGCTCTGCCTGCTGAAATATTTTGAGTGCATGAACCTTTTTTATCAGGGTCTTAGTGCTTCATATATGAACTTTAAGTGACAAGAACAACAAAAATCCCTCCATGTACCATGCTTAGTACTGTAATTAAACACATTTGACTATTTCAGGAAAAGCAGCAGAAGCTTCTCATTTGTAATGATGAGAAGTGCCAAAGATGACTGAAAAATACCAACCATTTTTTCCTCAAAAGCCTCTTCCAATGTTTACCAGATATGTACACACAGAAGAATAAGTCATCACTGCTGTTCTCCTCTCCTCAAAAACACAGAGGTAAATTCCCAACAGGGGATAATTCTCCCCTGGGCAGAGATAAAAATGGCTTAAGATGCAGCTTCAGGTAACATGAAGCATCTTGCTGGAGCTGCTGCAACTGGCAGAAACTGGTGGCCGAGGCCTTAAGTGGGTCCTTTTTAATTTCATTATGCGAAGGGGAACAGGGAGCTGAAGACTAACTAGCCTAACTAGCCTAACTAGCTGGCAAGGGCCCAGAGAGCACCCCAGGAGGAGGATGGCAGCAGCCACCAGCACAGCACTGCCTTCAGCCTCTCCAGCAGCGGTCGGTCCGAGACGGCCTCGAGGACGGAGCGGTCCTGCGCGCTGGCGCGAGCCACGACGGCGCCGCTGCACGCCGCCGGCTTCCCCGCTCGCATGGCCATCACGTGCTCCGACAGCAAGTGGTCGTGGTCTTCGTTGGGGGTGTCCAGCAAAATGAAAACCAGGTCAAATCTTGACAGCAAAGCGCTCCCCATTCTAGAGTAAAGGCATAGGAAAAGCCACATGGCTTGTAAAAAAGTGGAAGTCTACAGCAACTCTGAAAGAAATTTAGAAAAGCCTGTCCCATGCTTTGGATGCTGCAAAACAGCAATTATCTCCCACAAAAGCCACCAAAAATTATTGCAGTCAGATTGTGTTCAAGACAGAAAAGCAGAAAGCAATTATACGTGAACTACAAAAGTGCCAGAAGCACCTAATCCTGAAAGTGAACTGTAAACATTTCAGAAAGTGCTCACTTCAAGTTCTCAGACACAGTTTTGGCTTTGTTATAGTGTCCTCCAACGGGGTTTGCTGCAGCAATGATAGATGTCCTGGCAGGCAAACTGCAAACAATGCCAGCCTTGGCAAGGCTGATGCTTTGCTGTTCCATAGCTTCCAACAAGGCCTGATGCTGGCTTCCCATCTTATCAAATTCATCTATGCCACAAATCCCTGGAAACAGTTAACACAAGAAAAAAATAATTAAACTTATTAGACTCTGCTTTACTCGTGGGAGCAGGAGGAAGAAAAGAAATCAAGGGGATAAAAGCCCAATTCGAATTTCAGTTGGAAGGAAAATCTGGACGTAAACACATGCCCACCATCCAAAGCCTCTAAGGTTAGAAGCGTTACCTTGATCTCCAAGCACCAAGGCACCAGCTTCCAAGGCGAAGTCTCCTGAAGCACCGTCTCTGGACAGGGTAACAGTGAGGCCAGAGCTGGTGGAAGTGTTACCACAGACGTACACACCCCGAGGAGCAACGTTACACACTGCCTAGGAGGGAAAGAAACACTCCTTGCAGCTCCAGGAGGCACACTTAGGCAAAACCATAGGAATAACTTTGGTCATAGCACTTGTACATGGTCATGTCCGCTGCGTTGCTCACAACTGTGGAACTTGGGGCACAACACAGACGTTGTTGAGGCTATTGAAATGCTTGGGGACATGTTATCTGTCACCTGAGGCCAGGATCTTGTCTGAATGCCCAACACAAGCTGCTTGTGAAGCAGCACGTGTAGTTCTCCCCACAACAGGGGGACGAAGGACAGTCCTAGCCTCTTCTGTGCCTCCAGAAGGCAATTTGCAATTTGAAATATGAAGTAGAGAAAGCAAAAGCATGGTCAGCTTGATGACAGTCTACGTGAACTGGCAAAATGCAGTGGTATCACAGCTAAATTCGGCTAGAACACAGAATTATGTTAACTGGCTTCTCCCAATGAATCTCCAGAGATAACTACCGATGCCTCTATTTTACAGAGAGATTTACTAATGACATGAAAAAGCACATCATCTGTATATGAATGATTTTCCATTTAAAGAATAATATAAAAACATTGCTTGCAAGAAGACAAGGTAACAAGGAAGGAGAGGAAAAACATTTAAGACAGTAGAAATGAATTAAGACATACTTGCAACATTTGACTTTTTCCTAATCCGGGATCTCCAACAACCAGGACATGCGGGTCTCCTCGCACTGGGATTCTGTTCTTGTCATCTACAAACTTCTGACATCCTCCAAATAAGGCCAACGCCAAACCTGCTTTTACAATCTGTAGCAGTATGTACCAAAATGAGTTACGTATCTCATGGTGGCAACTGGTGGCTTCCTAGAATGAGCCACAACAGTCTTTTCCTACTGGATGGAAGGTCTGAAAACCCATAAGATCCTTCCAACAGGATGAAGCTGCCAGGATTTTTTAATCAGTTCATGCACAAGCATGAAAAGTCACTTGGGAACACACCACCACTCTGCCCCATCACCACCTCTGCAGCCAAGCTTTAAAAATCCTTTAGGAGATTATGCACTTGCCACAGCAAAAATTTAAAACTTAAGCTATAAGCAGAGCTGTGAAGCTACTTACCTCATGGCCATAGATAGCAGGACAAAGAGAGCTGAAAAACAAAGCACCTCAGAATATGGCAATAATATTGATCTTATAATACTACTAAATAATCACCCTGTCCCACTTAGAAGTGCATAGGAATTACTATTCTTAAAAGTAGGCTGTGATATTTCCCATCAGTGCAAGTGTTTCTAAGTAAAAACAGTATTGCATTTCTTGACATTTTTGAATAGCCAGATATGCTGATATGCTTGAAAAGCCTTTCATTTGAGTTTGCACAAATACAGAGGAGAACAAGTTTCCCAACGGTTGCTGCACTCAGATATGCTCGATATGGTAAGAAAAGCCTTTCATTTGAGTTTGCACAGAGCAGAACAAGTTTCCCAACGGTTGCTGCACCCACTCTTATCGTTATCAAGTAGCTACCCTTAACCCCTGCAAGCCTCTCTTTAAAGGGGCTATAATTTGCCATTCTTTGATCCAAGCTGAGAGGTGCTGAAGGACACTCCAGCCAGAAGAACTTCACTTCTTAACCTCCTCAGAGGGTCTTTCACACCCTCTGCTTAGTTCTCTCATCTCTTTCCTGTGCTGCAGAAAGGCAGAGGACAAAACCACGCATACCAGTTGAATTTTGCTCAACAAGAAGCAAAATCCATGCATCTTTTTCTTTAATCTATAGCTTTCCATCTCAGACTTGAACTGAAATACTCCTCACCTCCCTCTATGCTTAACCCCCTCCCAAATTCCTAACATCCT